ATGAAATTCATAAACATAAACAAACCTGGGTAATGGCGGAAAACATCTGATTCCCAAAACGATAAACTACCGATTAGCCAAAGAAAATCCATTGAAAATGGTATTTTGAAATTGACATAAAACAGGTGGTGTTCCTTTGGATATATATATATAATTATATATCTGTTAAATAGCTATATATACACGAGGTCGAAACTGCGACGTAAATATACCTAGACAAGTGAATCTTTATATCATTAATAATAACCAGATCAGAAATTTGTCAAAAAATGAATGGAACCATGGAAATACATTTTTTTCCGAAAAAATACAGAGAATTTGTTGTGTACAAAATATTACCAACATTCCCAAAAAAAAAAATAATTAAATAACCCGCTCCTTCTCCAGGTGAGAACCGTTAAACAAACCAAACCATACCTGTCCTGTTCTATTTTATTAAAAAAAAAAAAAGCTACGAAAAATAAAACCATCCAAAAGATAATTTTTTTTTAAACAAGATATTTTTTTGTAAACAAAATATGCGGAATTCGAAAAAATGACTCAAACATCATTTGTCAAGTGGTGATCACGTTACTATCGGGATGAATCTATTTCAGAATTTTGTTGATGGGTATGAGAGGTTGCTACGTTTGAAGCCATAAAACAATTCACGCCCCTCTGAAGTATAGCCTAAAGATTTGACTTGCCATCCAGGGCTCCCAAAAATGGAAAGTCCTGGAAAATTTTACCCATAAAAAAAAGAGAGAACATAGGTATTTATGAATTATCGAGGATATATATATATATAAATATATATAATATATATTCGGCACACAAAGAATATATATATAATATATAAATATATAGTTTATATATAGATCGATTTTATTCCATATATGTTCCATATATTCCAGCCTTGCATCGGTGTGTGTCTTTCGCGCAAATTCGAACTTTTCTTCAATCCAAGAACAATTATTTTGAAGAATATATATACTTATATATATACCACCATAAATATATTTATATATATGTGTGTGTGTGTGTCGTCCTTTCTTGTGTGTAAACAACATTTGTGTTGAAACTATATCATTTACCTATTTTATATTAATCCATAGAACTTCGGGAGATAAATCAGTCCTATGTATCCAACAACTAGACATAAAGTTGAATTATCCTTTTTTGATACCCTGAACTTTTGAATATCATTTTATTTTCTTTTATATATATATATATACACCCCGTTTGAATATATTTGCATATATAAATTGATTTCGTCCGCAAATATAATTAACAATTTAGAGTTCAATTCAACAGTGGAAGTCAATGCAATTGAAAAGTCACCAGAAATGTTGAAAAAAGAATGGCTAGGCTGATTTGTAACTGTAATGAGACCTCCCATCCGAATATAAAATTTTTTTTAAATCATATATTATATATATATATATATATATATATATATATGGTCGTAATTGCGACAAAACAACACGACTGACGCGACACAGAGAAGTCACGTTGAGCGGCGACACCCGAACGAAAAGCGAAGAGAAGCGAAGGCTTCCAGGGACAAAAATCTTACTGTTCTTTAATATATATATAACTAGCAGTAGAGCCCGGCGTTGCCCGGGGATATAACAGTAAGAGATAGATCAAGTATCCACCATCATAAAGACTGAAAAATAAAATTGACAAAGATTATTGTTTAAGGTTGACGGACACGCATGTCTTAATTAGTTTTTTTTTTTTTTTTTTTACGAATTGGTCAAACCCAAACTCAAACAAAAACATTGTTTTCAATCGTTATGAGTCTCCCGATTGAATAGAATTTTATTATAAACAATTGTCTTGTAAATGGAATTTTTAAAGCATTCTGAATGTAAAAATAAAAAAAAGTGTGCAAGACAATAAGAAAACTACAAAAAAAAAGTGAAGTTTTGTTGAAATCGGTTGAAAAATGTAGGTAGCCTTTCTGTAATCTTTTAGTTTTACAATTTATGATTTTTACTTATTGAATACAGTAAAAAAATTGCATATTTTGCTTGTGGTGATTCATAATTAGAATTCTGATTTGAATATATTTTCCACTCGTTGTTTCTAATACAAAAATATTAACTTATATTTGGGTTTATTAATTATGATCTAACAAATCTTATTCATTTAGTAGCCTTTCTGTAATAATAATCTTTTACAATTTATGATTTTTACTTATTGAATACAGTAAAAAATTGGACACCATGTGTATTTAAAGTAGTTTCCCGTTCCGGTTATTATTTTTAGTTAGGACTTGTGTATGTTTAGATTTCATTATCTTTCCCTAAAGATAAAGAATTTATCCGATGTTTGTATTCGTACAATCAGTAGAGATCGTTAGATTATTGTTTAAGGTTGACGGACACGCATGTCTTAATTAGTTTTTTTTTTTTTTTTTTTAAATGGAATTTTTTACGAATTGGTCAAACCCAAACTCAAACAAAAAAAAAAAAAAAAAAAAAGTGAAGTTGTTTTCAATCGTTATGAGTCTCCCATTTTCACGATTGAATAGAATTTTATTATAAATAATTGTCTTGTAAATGGAATTTTTAAAGCATTCTGAATGTTAAAAATAAAGAAAAAAACACACACATGCAAGAGAATAACAAACACTACCTGCCAAAAAAAAAAAATGAAGTTTTGTTTTATCGGCTGAAAAATATAGGAAATCCGTTCCCATATTTAAAGGAACCCACACACACAAACAACCCGATGTGAGTTGTCCCCTTCCATTTTCACGATGTCTCTTAATCGTGTTTTCAAATTGATTTTGTGCAAAATAATTTTCATATCTGTCGAAAACGTTAGTCCATTTTTTGCGCTTTAAAACCACCAAAGTTAATTTTATTTTCCTCTCAAAATTTTGTTGAAATAAGTTCTTATTTTTCAAAATGTAAGTTCCGATTTTTTTTAAACATTATTTCGTAAATAATTCTCCTTCATTTTTTTGTCTTTTACGTTTATTGAATTTCCTTTGTTTTCCTACGTTTTCTCCCACTCTTCCTCTCGCCATTTTTAACTGCTTCATTTCTTTTTTCTGTTTCAACACTGCCGATCAAAACCAGCGCAGCTTAGAAATTTTCAAACATTAAAAAAGAAAAAAAAAATTTTTTTCATACTGTTTTTTTTTTAATTTTCTCTTAAGAGTCATGTTTTATTTAAAACACCTTTCTGCACCAGCAAAACCCCAAACACATAATTTTTTTTGCTTTTATTTGAAACACTTTTCCGGTCAGAGGCAAAAAAAAAAAAAGAAAAAGAAAGAAAAATGGAGTAATGGCGCTTAACAACCACGTCAGGATGTCACTAATGAAAAGACAGCCGTTATTATTGAGATTATTGATTGGAAAATATTGACCAAAATTTGATTTCCGACAAAAATGTCAGTATAAGACAAAATAAACACAACAAATAACAAATATATAACGGATTTAAAATAAAAAAAAAATCAACAAAAACAGCTCCATAGTGATCTATTGATTTGACCTTGTGTCTCACTCAGCCTGTATCAAATTAAATATAACACTTAAAATTCCTCAGATTATCGATTATAGAAAACCTGTCCCTTCTCAAATGTTCCGGTATCTTCAGATGTTCAGAAAATTAAGACAACCGCTGGGAAACATTTATGGTGAGATTTATTTATTTTTGAATGTCAACATTTTTCAGATTTTTCGTCTTGAATGAGAGGCAAAAAAGGTTGACAGAGGTCCGGATTGAATGAGAGGCCAAAAAAGATTGACACAGGTCCAGTTTGAATGAGAGGCCAAAAAAGATAGACAACAGGTCCGGCTTGAATGAGAGGCCAAAAAAGATTGACACAGGTCCAGTTTGAATGAGAGGCCAAAAAAGATAGACAACAGGTCCGGCTTGAATGAGAGGCCAAAAAAGATTGACACAGGTCCAGTTTGAATGAGAGGCCCAAAAAGATAGACACAGGTCCGGCTTGAAATGAGAGGCCCAAAAAGATTGACACAGTCCAGTTTGAATGAGAGGCCAAAAAGATAGACAACAGGTCCGGCTTGAATTAGAGGCCAAAAAAGATTGACACAGGTCCAGTTTGAATGAGTGGCCAAAAAAGATAGACACAGGTCCGGCTTGAATGAGAGGCCCAAAAAGTTTGACACAGGTCCAGTTTGAATGAGAGGCCAAAAAAGATAGACAACAGGTCCGGCTTGAATGAGAGGCCAAAAAAGATTGACACAGGTCCAGTTTGAATGAGTGGCCAAAAAAGATAGACACAGGTCCGGCTTGAAATGAGAGGCCCAAAAAGTTTGACACAGGTCCAGTTTGAATGAGAGGCCAAAAAAGATAGACAACAGGTCCGGCTTGAATGAGAGGCCAAAAAAGATTGACACAGGTCCAGTTTGAATGAGAGGCCAAAAAATGTAAGACACTGGTCCGATTTCAATGAAAGGCGAGAAAAGGTTGACTCAGGTCCGGTTTGAATGAGAGGCAAAAAAGTAGATATAATCCCAGTGAAAATTGCAGATTCAGTTTGCACCATTTCCCCAAACACTGATACACATCTGGCAAACAGGTGACCTTCTTTTCACTCGGGCTTTGCCAATCTGTCTGAGAATGTAGTTGGCGTATTCACGACCCCAACTGGCATATCGTGTGCTGATTCTGCAGCATATGCTAAAATTCGTAAAAATCTACGTGCGTGTCTTCTCGCGAACGATCATAAATAGGTTGTCTTGTTGGCTGATGGGTCGCTTTAACACTGCGATGGTATTGCTTGTGAGTGTTCGACACTTACTTGAATATCGACTTGGTCACGCGCCTGGCTCGTGGCTGAGATAGACATTAGCGTCTAAAATCGCTATTCGGACTCAGATGAAATAGAAAGCAAGATTTTGAATATGGCTATTTTCTCGGGAGACGGGCAAGCAGAACCTCTCACATCTTCCTATTCTAACACGCGTTTACTTCGCTTTTTACCTGTACTAGGAACAATATATTAATCATCGTGATCATATTGGGTGCCTTCTCTAAGGAAGAGAAGAAAGATGAAAGAAGACGGTTGGGAGAAGAAAGATGGAGGAAAGGAGGCGGTGAAAAGAAAGGTCAAGGAAAGGAGGCAGTTGAGAGGAGAAAGATAAAAGAAAGGAGACGAATGAGAGGAGAAAGATGGAGGTAAGTAGGCGGTTGAGAGGAGACAGATGGAGGAAAGTAGGCGGTTGAGAGGAGACAGATGGAGGAAAGTAGACGGTTGAGAGGAGAAAAACATCTAGGCGGTTGAGAGGAGAAAGATGGAGGAAAGTAGACAGTTGAGAGGAGAAAGATGGAGGAAAGTAGATGGTTGAGAGGAGAAAGATGGAGGAAAAGAGACGGCTGAGAGGAGAAAGATGGAGGAAAGTAGACGGTTGAGAGGAGAAAGATGGAGGAAAAGAGACGCTTGAGAGGAGAATGATGGAGGAAATTAGACGGTTGAGAGGAGAAAGATGGAGCAAAGTAGGCGGTTGAGAGGAGAACGTTGGAGGAAAGTAGGCGGTTGAGAGGAGAATGATGGAGGAAAGGAGAGGAGAGTTTTTCATTCCACCATCATTGTATTGGGGCCTTGGGAGTCTATAACACCAAAAAATCTAGTGAGCAGTACGAAAAATATGAACAGAACGAGATATCACTACACAAGTGTATTGAAACGAGAACAATATAGCCCCGTAGGTTAAATAAAGTGTTCAGTTCAGAATTCTCTGTAGGCTACCCAAATGAATGTACACCTGAGGAAGGTCGTAGGGCACAACAGCCGAAGGCATGAGTCCACCATATCTCTCTCATTAGCTATCAGTTAAATAGCAGAGTAGCCTGTGCTCTCTAGCCTTGACTGGCAACGGAAACCATTCCGCTCTCATTTCCAAGATAACGAAGAAGAGGAATCTGTGGAGAGCCATGGCCGTGTTTATCCTAAAAGGGACATGGCATTTTATTTTAACAAAAATCAGTTCGATCCTCATTGGGTGCCCTATACTTGCGGCCATGAGCTAAACTAAGCTAAGCTTTGTAAATGTTTAACGGTGCGTCTCATCATGAGGTAATCGATTACCGAATAGTGAGGTCGATCCACACTGGGTGCTGCATTGTCGTGGATTTGCGCTTAAAATAATCTAAACTTTGTAAATATCTGTTCCGGCGTTACAGTTTAGCTTAATCTTTATCGAGCTAGTCCGGTTGTTAACTATTATTGCTGAGGTTGATCCTCATTGGGTTACTTCTTGTAGCCTTGTACCACACTAAGCTGTCATGTGACAAGCTGGAATTTGTGACTAGAATAAGAATTTTTTTTTCCATGAGTAAATAGTTGCTGAACTAGACCAGAACTGTCACAAGGCAACGTTGGTACAGCTTAAGAAGGAGAACAGGGTAACAGCTATGGCATGCCAGTAACGAGACCTTTTCTAAAAGATGGAGTAAAGTAGACGGTTTCGAGGAGAAGGATGGAGGAAACGGCGTTACAGTTTAGCTTAATCTTTAACGAGCTAGTCTGGTTGTTACTGAAGTTGATCCTCATTGGGTTAATTCTTGTAGCCTTGTACCACACTAAGCTGTCACATGACAAGCTGGAATCTGTGACTACAATTAAGATTTATTTTCCATGAGTAAATAGTTGCTGAACTAGACCAGATCTGGCACAAGGCAACGTTGTTACAGCTTAAGAAGAAGAAGAGGGCAACAGCTGTGGCATGCCAGTAACGAGACCTTTCGTAAAAATGTCGCAAAAGACGGGACTGCCCAATGGAAGAGATAAACTCTTGCTTCCCCAAGAGCATTACTGGAAATAGCAAGGCAGTTTTTAAAGCCAGCAAACGAAAAATGGGTGGAGTAATATGTGTGTACGTGTATGGAGATGTGGGGAGGGAGAGGAGCCCAAACTTTGAATACAGCTCAAATGATATGTGTGTGTGTGTCATTTGTATCCAATGGGCGGCATTAGACTCTAAAAGCTCTAAACGGAAACAATTCAAGCTAGCTTATGAAGTGATAATGGATTTTTGGCAAAGCGCGGGGAAAATGGGAAGCCAAAGGTCAAATCTCTAACCGGAAGCAAGGCGCGATAAAATCATCAAATAATCACAGATGCGCATGCTCGGGTGGCATAGGTCTGCATAGACGCGGTCACTTCTGAATATGACTAAAAAAATATATATATGCACACACAAACACACATCTATATCTAAGTTTATTAACTGTGTATTGTCTACGCAATGTCTTATAATTTCACAAGATTCACATATAGAGAGATACATGAACTAAAATACAAACAGACACACAGATATTGTTTAAAATATGTCATATCTATGCAGGAAGAGTGTTAAATATATGATATAAGTAGTCGAACTTGGTTTGAATATTTGTTTTTTTACGGTTTATCAACCCTTTGAAGGTTATTTAAAACCAATATTTTTAGATTGTAAAAAAAGTTTTTTTTTTTTTTGGTGGCGGTTAGATGAAAATGGCTTAGTGATACTGGTCCTACTAATTAACCCATAGCTGGTGGAGAATAGGTCGATTCATACCTTTGGCCAAATGTATTTACGCGAGAAGAGAATATAAAGAACCAAACTGGAATTGGAACACGGCTCTCCGATTAACAATTCCAAGCCAATATCCATTACACCATCTGCACATCCAAGCTTAAAGCACCTGTTATTCCCAAGCGGTCACCCATCTAGGTACTGACTAGACTCGACGTTGCTTAACTTCGGTGATCGCACGGGAACCGGTGTTTGAACGTGATGTGATCGTAAGCAAATTTATTTTTAAGATCATACAATGAAGTCTAGTGTTTATTACAAGAACCGCGCTGTCTGTCTGTCTGTCTGTATATATATATATATATATATATATATATATATATATATATATATATAAGCGAGAGCAAGATCTAAAATGTCTGCCAATCTAACAGTGATTTCATCTCACAATTCACACTTGCTCCATATGTGGCCTCCTTTGTAAATCACTAGCGGGTCTTAAATGCCACTTAAGATTATCGCACAAAATTTCATAACTGAATCAATAAGCTGTCGCAGATCC